ATTTCTTAATTTAAAGTATCTTTAAATATTCTTATTTCCTTTTCTTAATTTATAGTCGCGTACTGTACGATGCTGGCGTCGTCACAGTCCGAGTCGGAGAGACAAAAGATCCGTAACAAGATGAACGACGACCCGATTCTGGCGAAGATCTTGCGGCAGTTAGACACGGGCAAGGGCGAAGATGACGCCGATGAAACCATGGAAGCGAGATCGCAACGTAAGAGGCGAGAAGAGAACGAGGATACGGGCGGGCCCGGCGGTCAAGTTCAAGGCACAAGGAACTTGATTGATTTAGAAGATCTAATATTTGCGCAGGGTAGCCACTTCATGGCGAACAAACGTTGCCAGCTTCCCGACGGTAGCTTCCGCAAGCAGCGAAAGGGGTGAGTTTGATTCTGCGACATTAAAGTGCGAAATTAGCGCTTGTTTTTATGCAAATCAAATAACGTCAAGATGTTCTTATATAAAAAAAAAATTACAGACAGAAAAATACTGTATTCAAGTAAATGTTACTTGTTTCAAGTATTTCATAAAAACTTATATTTTCTATGTCTAGAACAGTAGAATAATGTTTATCTACTTTTATATTATAACATATTCTTATTTTGTATTCTTACATTTCATTAAAATTAAACCATTCTATTATATCTATAGATACGAAGAGGTTCACGTCCCCGCCTTGAAACCAAAGCCGTTCGCGGAGAACGAGAAGCTGCATCCAATCGATCAATTGCCGAAGTACGTGCAACCAGCGTTCGAAGGCTTCAAGACATTGAATCGCATACAGAGTCGTCTATATCAGACAGCACTGGAAAGCGACGAGAACCTGCTACTGTGCGCACCCACGGGAGCCGGCAAGACTAACGTGGCACTGTTGTGCATGATGCGAGAGATCGGCAAACACATCAATGCCGACGGTACGATCAATGCCGACGAATTCAAGGTGATCTATGTCGCGCCGATGCGTTCGTTGGTACAGGAGATGGTCGGAAATTTCCGGAAGCGTTTGTCGACGTACAATCTCACTGTTTCCGAGTTAACGGGGGACCATCAGCTGACGCGAGAACAGATCGCCGCTACTCAGGTGATAGTGTGCACGCCAGAGAAGTGGGATATCATAACGAGAAAAGGCGGCGAGAAGACCTTCACGTCGTTGGTGCGGCTGATCATTATTGATGAAATTCACTTGCTTCACGACGAAAGAGGACCTGTTCTCGAAGCGTTGGTCGCGAGGACGATCCGGAATATCGAGACTACCCAGGAGGACGTGCGACTCGTCGGCTTGTCGGCCACGTTACCCAATTATCAAGACGTCGCGGCGTTTTTGCGCATCAAACCTGAAACAGGACTGTTCTATTTCGACAATAGTTTCCGGCCAGTGGCATTGGAACAGCAATACATCGGTGTCACCGAGAAGAAGGCGCTCAAGCGTTTCCAGGTAATGAACGAGATCGTCTACGAGAAGACTATGGAACACGCGGGCCGTAATCAAGTGCTGATATTCGTGCATTCACGCAAGGAAACCGGTAAGACAGCGCGCGCCATCAGAGACATGTGTCTGGAGAAAGACACGTTGGGTCAGTTTCTACGAGAAGGTTCCGCGTCGATGGAAGTATTGCGAACAGAAGCGGAGCAGGTGAAGAATCAAGAACTCAAGGATCTGCTACCGTACGGCTTCGCGATTCATCATGCCGGCATGACCCGTGTCGATCGTACTCTGGTGGAGGATCTCTTTGCCGACCGACACATACAAGTGCTCGTGTCCACGGCAACCTTGGCCTGGGGTGTTAACTTGCCGGCACATACAGTCATCATCAAGGGCACGCAAGTGTACAATCCGGAGAAAGGCAGGTGGGTGGAACTGGGCGCGTTAGACGTCCTGCAGATGTTGGGTCGTGCAGGTCGACCGCAATACGACACGAAAGGCGAGGGTATCCTCATCACGAATCACAGCGAGCTGCAGTACTACTTGTCGTTGTTGAATCAGCAGCTGCCAATCGAGTCGCAGCTGATCAGCAAAATGTCCGATATGCTGAACGCGGAAGTGGTGTTGGGTACGATTCAGAACATTCGGGATGCGGTCACCTGGCTCGGCTACACTTACCTCTATATCCGAATGCTGCGTTGTCCGAGCCTGTATGGGATCAGCCACGATAAACTGAAGCAGGATCCGTTACTGGAGCTACACCGGGCCGATCTCATTCACTCGGCCGCTGTTGGGCTGGATCGCAGCGGCCTCATTAAGTACGACCGCAAGTCCGGCAATTTTCAGGCGACCGAGTTGGGCAGAATCGGATCTCATTATTACTGCACGCACGAGACTATGGCGACGTACAATCAGTTGCTGAAGCGCACATTGAGCGAGATAGAATTGTTTCGCGTGTTCTCGCTGTCCGGCGAGTTCAAAAACATAAACGTGCGCGAGGAGGAGAAACTAGAGTTGCAGAAGTTGATGGAACGAGTGCCGATACCTGTGAAGGAGAGCATCGAAGAGCCGAGTGCGAAGGTGAATGTGCTTCTACAGGCATATATCTCGCAACTGAGGCTCGAGGGCTTCGCCCTCATGTCTGACATGGTGTTCGTCACGCAGTCCGCGTCGCGTCTCATGAGAGCTATCTTCGAAATAGTGCTGTTTCGGGGCTGGGCGCAGCTGGCGGACAAGTGTTTGTCTCTTTGCAAGATGATCGACCGCCGGATGTGGCAGTCTATGTCACCGCTGCGACAGTTCCGCAAGATGCCAGAGGAGATCGTGAAGAAGATCGAGAAAAAGAACTTTCCTTGGGAGAGACTGTACGATCTCGGACCCAACGAGATCGGCGAGCTGATACGCGTGCCGAAGCTCGGCAAAACCATACACAAGTACGTCCATCAGTTCCCGAAG